TATATGACAATGGAAATAGACTTGTATACTGAGTATTTATTTTTGGCCACCACTGTAAGCAATTGGCGCGAATCAATCAAATTAGAATTGTAATTTTGAATATAAAGAAAAAATTCGATTTGAAAGTATCTAGTATATAGTCAAAGTACTAAATAAATTAACGTGTAAGCGATTTAAATTGCAATTTAATAGAATGCATCATAAAATTTAAATCAAAATGAATAGAAAATAAACTTCCAGGGCACAAATGCAAGCAACGCTAAGGTACAAAAATAATTTCGATCATCGAAGAGATGCGCTAATATTCTGAAAGTTAAACATCAATACTCGTAAGAGGTGGATTTTAAATCAATAAAATAAAATAATGTTAAATAAAATAAAATAGAACTAAGGAAGGACACATCATTTGCAGCAAAGTATCTTTGAACGAAATTAAGCAAAAACTAATGTGAAAATTGCAGAGCACTGTAAATATCAAAATATCATTAGTCAGAGATTAAAAAATGAGAAAGAAGCAGGGGGAGAGGATCAGTTCACAAGTTGTAGTATATAAAATGTAAATGAAACGTTTAAATAATATTTTTCAAATGTAGTTCAAAATTTTGATTTAAAAACTATCAAAATGAGGCACCCATTGGAGATGTGAGAACTTAGGAGGCAGGCCGCAGACATGTTTAGAAAAATTCATGGTCACATGACCACTATTTTGATCAGGCAAAAATCAATTTGTCTTATTCAACATGGAATTTAGAATTTATGAATTCGACGATTTGGGATGGTAACATAAAAATTTTTTAACAAAAATATATTTCAAGTTTTGATAAATTAAAAATTTAATTTTCAAATATTTCTCATTTGTTGTATTGGATAAAATTTTTTAAAAGTAATTAATCTTAAAATCAATTATTTTTGTAAATGCATTTTCGTTATGATAAATTATAAATGTAACTGCAATAAAATTAATTAAAATCAATTGAAATGATTTTAGTATCATTTTTGTAGGCTTAGCATCGTTAACGGTTGCTAAAGAGCATGGAAATGAAAAAAACCAGGTGTTCAACACAGCTGTACTCAAATCAATAAATAGATGATAAATATTTCTAGAGTGCAAGCTTTACTAAAAATGAAATCAATGAAATATATGCGGTTCCTAATATTGTAAATATAACAATATAGAATATCTTAAAGACTTGGTTCTATGTATTGGTTAATTATAATAAGGATCAATATGATCTGGTCTTGGTATTATTAATGCCCTGGGCGAGATCACTACTTGAACGATGAAAAATATATATAACTGTTTGTAGCGTACCCGCTGGTTATTAAGCACTGCTCAATAAGATCTAATGTATCATGGAGTTGAGGAGCATTAAGGCTTACTTATAATAAAAGAAAAGCATCGTCTTGTTGAAATCACATAACTCCCAAATCTACATCTTCAATTTTATTAAAAAAAAAACAAATTAACTAAAAAACTGTTGCGATCAGAGTTTCATAATATTTAAAAAGGACTGGGCCTATCATACTTTTAATCCGAACGTCACACCAAATAGTGGATGCAAAAATTTTTCATTTATTGTTTTTTTTTTGACATATCCACCAAGTAAACAATGAATCTCATCACCAAATTCTATTCTATTGTCAACCATCTGTTATTGGAGTACAGATTTGTAGTGCTCAGACAGATATTTAAGTTGACAAAATCTTATAATAATGTACGAAATGTACGTAGTACCAAAGCATCATATTTGTAGTAAGTAATTGGTTAACGATCCCTAGTTTTGTATGAGATACGTCACTGAAACAGTGTTGCTAAATTTGCATCACCTATTATACGTATTAATGCTAATAACTACAGGAAATATTGAAATAAAATCTGCGATGACGGGTTTAGTGTTGAATGCATGCAATGCGAATTCTATGTCGGTTAATGTTAGAAATGTGTGTTGCTCAGATGCCGAACTGGTAGTTGGCTATTATACTTTTGAATCTCTCAAGAATTTCACAACTGCTATAACAAACAACAACGAACTATATGGATATCAGACGAAGAATTGCCATTGTCAATAGGTGCTATTATGGGTTCAATAGGTTATTGGAATGAAGAACTCTCTCTCTCTCAGTGTATAAAACTTACGCTTTATAGAACACACATTCTATTTGTGCCTTTGTATGACGCAAAAGCATAGACACTATCACATAATGATGAAGCAGCACTGCGAGTTTTCGAGAGAAAGGTAAGATCTTTAAACTACACGAACTGATAACCAAATGAATCACGAGCTGTACGAGTTTTATCACGACATTCTGCGATATAATATTTAGCGATTTTGCTACTATGGTCATGTCGTGAGAATGGATGACGATGGTCTTTGGTGAGAAAGCAAGCTTTTAGGTAGACCTTGTCTTTGGTGGTGTGATTAAGTTGATGGAGCACTGATCGCACTTGACGTATGACACTGGAGAAAGCGCGCACGCAGCAAAGGCGCCTGGAGAAGAGTGTGTTACGACAAAACCCGATAACAGGTTGTTGAAGTTATTTAAGTTAGTAAGTTAATACAAGAAATTGTGTTGGACATTTATGGCTTCAAGATAAATGAATAACAGATGTAAATTGATTATAGGTTCTAATATAGTTTGTAGAGGAAATAACTGCTTAAATTTGTAAATAGTAAAATACTTATGGTTTTCTTAAAAGATTCATTTACATAACGAAATTTAACCTTGATTCATTGATATTTATATTTATTTGAACTTATATATTGATTTTTAAAAAAAGAAAAATATTTTATTTCGCTAATTATTACTTTGTGAAACATCATTACTTTCACAAAATGTCAAAATATTTAAAACACTGAAACAGAAGTCAAGACAAATGCCAAGAAAAATGTAGTTCATTTTCTTTAATTTTAATTTTTTTCATATTTTTTAACGCCTGTTAATATATTTTTAATTATTTTTTAAATTATATACGTCGCTTGACTTGTCATAAAAATTGCATTTACATTTTTTAGCTGAAATACATTATTTCGAATATTTCTGAGTTGACTAAACAACGTCTAATTAACGTTTATGCTGACACTTTGACTGACAATTTGCTTGCTCGCATATCAACGAAACATCTGAAAATGTCGCCTTTGACAAAAAATTGGATAACTTAATTTCTTCAAAAGTTTCCTCACATTTCGAGTACATTTCACTTACGAAGTAGTGGTGCCAAACTTCGTTACTTTTGCGTATTTGTAACTACCCGTTACTTTTCGAATATGTATTCGTTACTCAGTATTCGTTACTGCGCTTTCGTTACTGCGTTTTCGTTACTGCGCTTTCGATACTGCGCTTTCGTTACTGTGCAGTCGTTACTGAAGTTTAAATGCTTTTCTTCGGCAATACAAGAAATTTTTAAAAGCATATATATTTATAATAATAAATTATAGATTTAATAAATTAGAATTATTATTTTATTGAATTGTTTGATCCGCATATTTTGCATTTAGCTTTTCACGTCGTACTGGTTCAAATGAATCCAAATTTCACTTTTTTATATTAATATTTTTAAACATTTTTAATGAATTTGATAGCGAAGAAAAATTTTGTTCAAAATAAAGTAGTTATTATTATATCGCAAAAACAATTGCTTAAAAGTATCGTTACTAAGTACTTGAAAGAGTAGTTATAATAAATATTACTCATTGGTAAAATGAGTAAAAGTAACGAATACAATAAAAAGTTTGTATTCGTTACTCAGGTATTTCTTGAGTAACGAATACAAAGTAACGGATAGTTACATTTTTGGCACTACTATTACGAAGACTAACTGAAAATTCAACTTGAATGAATTTTATTTTATTTTAATACATTTTTTTTAAATATTTTTCTATTTTCACTTTATTTATGATCTCTGCTAGGACAATAAACTAATTTGATTAAAGATAAATTTTATGTTGCTTGTCTTGTTACAACGTCAAAATATTGTTGCAAGATAGTTTTTGTGACAGCAATTAAATTAATTTTGTATTTTTTCTTAGATAAAATTTTATTTTTAAATTTATATTCTATGTAGTCTATGGGACTAGTTCGTAATGCATATTAGATAAGTTTAAAAGTTTTTATATTAAAAATACAATATATTGACGTATTAAAAATGGGATAGCCAAAGTATACTCCATATATTAGAGCAGGTGTTTCACAGGTTGTTTGGTTACTACGACATTCAAATCATCAGGAACTAGCTAGTGTCTACATATGCAAATGATATTGCAATAGGATGCAAGCAGCAATCAAGTGAAATTGCCTCTGAGTTCAAAAAGGACTTAATCCTAAACAAAACTTGGCTTAAATAGTGTGCAGCCCAACAAATTATACACAGATTATAAACGAATTAAATTAAAATTCGAACATTTCCTAAGATCACGGTTGATTAGTACTTAGTGATACTCGAAATAGTGTTTTATGGTCATCCAAATTTCAATAAATTAATTAAAATTTTTGTTGTTGTTTTTTTCTTTACTGTTCAAACCTTATAGTTTCTTTTCGTCATAAGACGCGTCACATTCGTTCATATCATTCAATTCCGTTCATATCATCTTACTTTGGACGAAGTAGCTTTCAGTATTTCTTTAGTCTTGTTGGAACTATCATACAATGAATAGTAGTGATAAATATCATGGTATTTAAAAAAAGTATTAAGGGGGAAAGAACACATATAGTACTAGCAAAAAAATACTTAATTTGAAAGCAAAAAAATTTGTACAGGCTGTCGGGTTTAACATCTGTGCATTTGCAATAAAGTACTCTCATAAAAATCCAATCTGCATATATGCAGATTAATAAAGTTAGTTGTAAAAAATACTGCAACAATTTTAATGTTAAATGTTGAGTTTAATTGTACCTGTACACTGGTTTGTGACTAACAATTTCTCTATAAAATCTAAATGTTCCCTATATAAAAAAATTGATGGGAATTTGTAGACCTAAATATCTTGAATGATTGACTAATCTCATAAACCCACTAGCTTTGGTTTTGTTGTATGTTTTCCTTGAAAACTTGAGGGTCCACACATCTTGGGTCTCCCAACTAAAACAATTAATTATAATACTTAATATATGTAAATAGTTAAAAATAGAATAAAATAAAATAGAGCTCAAGTATTAATGCATATAGTGGGCATAAAGGAGCACGTAATATTAATTTAAGTTAACATATTATAAATTATACTTTTTATTTATATAGACAACTACACAAATTGAAAATAAAAATTATATAAAAATGTATGTATTAAAGAGATTGTACTCACCAACAATGATTCCTCCGGTGGTAGGTAAGGGTAATTTTTCGAGTGCAACGGGTCTATAGGTTATTGATTCGGATTTACCGTTTACAAGATGTTCAGTAGTCTGTTAAATGATTAGATATAAATTTAAATAAGTATAATTATAAATAATTAGAATATAAAAAAAATAATTCGTACATCTAATATATATGTAAATTATTTTAAGCCAACTCACCTGAGTGGTAGATTTCACAATCTTTGTATGTTCCTCTATATATTCACTGTGTGTGTGTTCGTCGACGCTTTCAACAGCCTAAAGTGAATAGAAATATTTTCAAAATTTATAAGCGAGAAACCATTATATCTGATCCATTAGATCATTTTTTTGAAATTTACCAGATATGCAGTTTTTAGATATTTTACACTTTTAGCGCTTGATTTAGAAACTTTTTTCCTTTATTTTTTTAGATATTTTTATTTGCGTTAAATAACACATAGAGAATTACAATTAAATTAAGTTTGTTCGATTATTGCCTTGCCATGTTGATTGATTGGGTATGCGAAAAACTATTTGAGAAAAATTTTTATATCGACCAAATTTTTTATGATTTTTATTTTTCAAACGTGAAAATTAATGAAAACCATATGGAAATAAAATCAATATGAATTTTTATGTTGATTGATTGGTTTCCTTTACTTGTTGTTGTGATTTGAATCAATAGAATTACAAATGCAACATTTTTTAGAAATGTGTTTCATAATTATTGTTCAAGCTTCCGTTTTGCTATATACTAGATACTTATCTTATATTAGAGAGATGTTAAGTATTGCTATTTAAGCTTTAAAGTACATAGTTATTCTCTGAATTTGATATTTGTAGAGCTTTTAATTCGTTTCTTTAATATTAATTAATTAGCTTCCGTTTTGCTATATACTAGATACTTATCTTATATTAGAGAGATGTTAAGTATTGCTATTTAAGCTTTAAAGTACATAGGTATTCTCTGAATTTGATATTTGTAGAGCTTTTAATTCGTTTCTTTAATATTAATTAATTAGCTTCCGTTTTGCTATATACTAGATACTTATCTTATATTAGAGAGATGTTAAGTATTGCTATTTAAGCTTTGAAGTACTTAGTTATTCTCTGAATTTGATATTTTTAGAGCTTTTCATTCATTTCTTTAATATTAATTAGTACGTAAAAATAAATAAAAAAACATAGAAGGGTTCAAACAGTAATAAAGAAACAACAACAAAAATTTGATTAATTTATTTAAATTTGGCTGATCACACAACGCTACTTCGACTATTGCTAAGTACTCATCATTAGTGATGTTAGAATTTATTCGAATTTTTATTTAATTAGTTTATAGCCTATATATAATTTGTTGGACTGCAAGTGCCAGGCTTAGAACTTGTGCCTGTCAAATTAGAAACGATGATTAATCGAGTTATTTCATAAGCAGCTAAGGCTGCACGAACATATATATATTAACATAATTGAAACAGGAATTGTTAGTTTAGGAAGGTCATAATTGAATATGATATCTAAAGCGACACATAGTATATATAGTACCAATGCTATTTAAAGTTTAGATGGCTGCTTTGTAGTATTAATATGTTATTGTAGTAGTAGTAGGAAATCGAGAAAATATAAACCATTCGTAGACCAATGTCTATAATTAGGTCAACAAATGAAATTTATGGCAATACGATAATTGGTTATTAAAACTATTTATAGTGCATTAGTTGTTTACTTCGGAGAAGGTATAATGATCTCAGTAAGTAGTCTCGAGAATTTTAAACTGGCAAAGGAATAGGACCTTATGTGTTGATCAAATTACTCTATATTATAATAAGATTATTTACTTTAGTCAAAGACTTTATAATAAACATTTCAATTAGCACTATAGCAACTTATATCAGTCTGTCAATTTATGTTAACTAATAGAAAATATTAAGTTAATAAAAGAACAAGTATATCAATAGTCAAAACAGAATCTACGTGTAATATAAAATTTATATATTTATATATATATAATGAAATATATAATAAATTTTAAATTTCTTTTCATCTCGACAAAATGGAGTGGACAGTTTGAAATAGTTAAATGTTAGCTAAAGCGGAATGTTTAATAACAGCAATAACCGACTTTTTATGGGTTCATATGTTAGAATGTGTAACAGGCATATGCAATAATTTAGCTAATGGAACCATTGGCTACAGCTTTAGCTACAGATATACCATTGTAGTAGCTCTTTGTGTTTGTCATTAACGCTTTCGGTGAAAAGAAAAATGTTAGAATATACAAATTAAGTCTACATTTAAAGGATAAAGAAAAGACAATATTAAATGAATGTCGCCTAGCTGAGAAAGATTTCCCGCAGTTTTCAAAGACATTTTTTTTATGTAGTCTTTACCACTTTTATTACAAAAGCGGTTAGAGTTAAAGTTATAATTGTAGAAATCAATTACTATTTTAGTAATTGAGTTACCTAGCGTTTTTTTCATCTTGAAATTATTTTTGAATATATTAGTGGTGATATTATAATAATTGACATCTTTAGTCATTCATATTCAGCTATTTATTTTTATTGATTATTTTAGTTTTTTTCATTGTTTTTTATTTAATTAATTTATTTTTAGTTAAATTATATTTTTCAATTATTATTTATTTTTAATTTTGTATTGATGGATAATATAAGTTTTAAAATAATTTAATTATTATTAAAATATTATTATATTACATTATAATATAATACATTATAATAATGTGATATAAATATTAATAATCGTTATTAAAATTTTTTGCATTATATAAATAATAATATATTTGCTGAAATAAAACTTATATAAAATATAAATATAAAATATTATATTATGTTATGTATATAATTCATATTAAAATTCAAATTTTATATAAATATAAAAAAGGTAAATATATATACATATATACAAATAACGAGCATATATAATTGATAATTTATAAAATATTTTATAATATTATAATATAAATATATACATAAGTTTATAAAAATTTATTAAAATACATATAAATATAATTATATCTATTTTATAGAATAATTTCATTTTGTTAAATAAAAATTATTATATATCAGAATTAAAGTTTTTGGAACTTTGAAGAAATTAATTATTTTTTTTCAAAATGTTAGTCGATTTTTTTTATTAAAATGGCGCACAAACAATAAATTGTTTATATATATTCGTTTTTAACGTTAATGTTTAATAAAATTTAAAAACAATTTTGTATATAATAACTACAGATGTCTTTAACAGTACAAATTTATATCACAGAAATAGATAAATCAGCACAAAAATTATTGCAATTAGTATTTATAAACACCTTTTCTACACACAGCTTCCAGCTGGCGATAGTAGACCAAAAATTTGTTAATTAAAAAAACTTTATAATTTTGATTCTCTAATTAGTGACTAATTTTCGAAACTGTTCAGTGATTTTCAAAAACCGAAACTTGCAGCATTCAGAACACCTTTACGTACACACGCGAACTGTCTGTTTGGTGCCTACCGCATGGGGCTTATGTTGAACTTCTATGAAGACACTTCAAAGAACGTGGGCCGATTGGTTAGCTTGTCGTCGTTGTGAATGTTCTATGCGACACAGGCGACAGCATTTTTGTGCATTGCACTCGGATCAGGAGAATCCGTTACTGAATGACAGACTGCAGCGCTGAGTGATTGAATTTCTCAAGTGTTGGCTTTTGTTTTGCTGAAAGTGTTTGTGCAGACCCATGGGTGTGTATTGGTTCTTACTACAAAGTTTATGCGGGCGAAGATAAAAAAATTAGACATTGTGTAGAAATAATAATAATGCCAAAATAATTGATCATTTCCTGTCACTTCTTGAATTTTATGAGAAAAGTTAGATATATATTTGCTTTACAGTAATATTAAAATTATAATTACCATAGTTACAAAAAAAAACACAAAACTATTAATTCAGATCTTAATTTAAACCTTAATAAGATTTTTTGAAAGGTGTCTATAATATCATAAAAAAGATTTTATATAATAATAAAAGTATAAATATATTATACATAGACATATAAACATATGTATATATATATTTTTTTTAAATAATACTTCAAAATGTACATTTATACAGATTAACTCACTAGAAATCAAAATAGGGTCACCACCCAATATTAGAATCTACATAGAAGCCATTTATAGATTTTCCTTCCGTAATGGAAGATTGTGATTAGAAAGAGCTTATGTGGTTCAAAGAGGTTATTAAGATAATAATAAGAGGAACCATTATAGTGAATGAGATATATTTTTCTCAAACTATTTGCAAATTCAACATTATATTGCATATTGATTAATTAATTTTTTTTTTTTAAATATTTATAACCTTAGCTCAGTAACAATAAAAAAACTAAATAAAAACTTATATATAATATAAATATAAATATAAAAATATAATTATAGAAATATAATTATAAAAATTATTAAATAATATTTTTTATCCAATAAATTAATATAAAATAAAAATAACATATTAAATTAAATGCAATGGAATTAAATTATGGTAAATAAATATATTATAAAAAAAATAATATAAAAAAATTAAAGAAAATAATATAAAAAAATTTAAATCTAAAAAAAAAACGTATAAAAAAGAAATATAAAAAAAACATAAAAAAAAATAATATAAAAAAATAAATTACATATTACATATCACATTAAATTAATAACAGAAAATATTAGAACAGAATATCTTTTCTTTTGATGCCTAGTCTTTTAAATATTGAAGTAATAAAAATTTTATTACCATAATAAATTTGAAACATTGTATAAAGTTAAAGATATGAATATATCTCAATATCGTAATATATATATTATATTTTAATTTTTTTTCTTTATGGTGCGCTTTTAATTGCTTTTTAATGAACAATTTTACGAAACAAAATTCCAATAAAACAAAATTGGTGCATGTTCCAAATTCTGTCTAAAAACTCAAGCCCCTATTCACAATAAATGTAGATTCGGTGAAGTGTTCCAATATTGGCATTCCGTAGAAAGTGCAGACGTGTAGGTGTCAACACGTACCCATTGGCACAATTCGAAATCTAATTCTGAGATAGTGTGATATTCTGTTTAGACCACAATATGTATAAGATTTTATTATTTTTATTACTTTTTTTTAGAATTAATTATTATTAGATTTATTTTGATTGTATTTTTTCATTATTTTATTTTAAGTAATTAAAAATAATTTATCTTAATTTTGCATGTGTAACTATAATTGCAATAATAAATTTCTTTAATTCTAATAATAAATTTTTGTATGTTTTCATGACTTAAAAAAAATATCTATGGTATTTTTAACAATAAAACAATATTAATTAAAAGAAAAATTTTATTCAAATAAAATTTTAGAGAAAAGTTTCCGCTCAGTATTGGAAATAAAAAGATCTGCTCCCATTGCTTTTTTTTTTGTTTCTAATAAAAGTAAGAGTGTTAATGTGGTATGAAAGTTTTTCCAAAGATCCATCCGTGAAAATATTTTTAATCAAATTGTTTTCACATTGATAGGGTTCAAATGTATATAGTGCCGATGCTATCTATAACTAGGTAGGCAGTTCGCGGCCACCTCAGTATAAGTTTACTTTGATCATAAAAGCCAGACCGATTATATTCACAAAATGTTTTTTTTAACATAATTGATTTTTTGGATTGTTAGTTAATGAGGTCCCTTTAAACATATTAGCAGCTAATAACAATAATTTTCTTTATATTATTTTTTTTAATAATAATAATTTAGATCAGCTTATGTTAGAATATGATTGCTTAAAATTATATACTCAACATATAATTGGGTCTATGTACAACTGTTCAAAATTACGCTGAAATTCTAATACCGCTATACGCATAATTTTTATTTTGAAATGTCATATAAGATTTATTCTATCTATTCAAATTATGGGTCAGTATTTATTAAATTGTACTCAATAATATATGGAGATCTACTTTAAACACCAGAAATGCAGTGAACTCCACCAATATTAGAGTTGTGATAGTCGTAAAAAATGGATTTTGCAGTACGTAGTAATATGGTTAAAACTTTTCTAATTATTTAACTCGATAATAAAGAAATTGCAAAATTTTCCGATTTCCCTGAATATAGTGACTACGTACACAAGTTTTGGTATATATTACAGTTAGCTAATATAATACAATATTAAGGTTTAAATAAAGAAAGTATTGCCTAACGTGTTGTCAAAAGATTTTCTTTGTTTAGAAAGGTTAGTCGTGGGTGTCAACTGGAAAAAGTAGTCACACATGAAAGTGATATGTGGAGATGACGAAAAAGATGACAAGCGGACTTCTTCGAGAATAAAATGCATTCATGAATATTTGAACCAATTTGAGTGGAAGGTCTTTTTAGCAAATGCTATAATCATCAACAATATCGATTTATAGAAGAACAGTATCACGTTTTACGCAGTAAAATCACGTTGTTTGGATCCCTTAATCAGAATGCTTGTCGAAAGAAAACAGTGGAAGATGTTCGAACGTCAAGTCAAGGGAACACGCAAAAGAAGATAATAAAGAAAAATATATGCATAATATGTATGCATAATTTGTGGATGGCAGCATGAAATAAAAATGAAAATTATTTAACAGATATACGCAGATATATATATATAGGATATATAAATATTGATAGAAATATTCGCTAAGCTGCAAATGAAGACATCAACTAAATTTAAAAATATCTACACATTTAAAATATTAAATTTTTTTATTTTATTTTTTTTTTAATTATGTTTATTTCTTCAATTTGAATTCAATAAAGTTTTAAATTGTTTGCAAAATAATTGTATTCGCAACAATTTATTTTTTGGTATGCAATTTATGCCACATTTCTTTTTAATGACAATAGATGCAGTATATGAATTAAAATAATTATGTATTTTTTTTTTCATAGAACTAGAATAGCAAGAATTGCTTAAAATTTTAATTAATCTTTTTTGCGGGTATTTTGTAAATAAATATTTTAAAATTTGCTAAGCGGTAGTGGTTTAGTGATTGAATTCAAAGATAACCAAAGGTCTAATGTTCACAAATTCTCACATGGGTAATTTGTCTAAACAAAAATGTCTCTTACTAATACATAGTTTAATTAAAAAAGAAATCTTTTCAAAATATTTTTAAATGTATGTATTAACATATATACATAGTATTATATTTGCAAAATTTATATAATTTTGTAAATTATTATTGTTGTTAAATTATTGAAAATGCAATTATTTGCGGGTTGTCAGTACAGAAAATAAAATAAATATAATTGACAAAAAAGAATAATAAATATACATATAATATACATATATTTAATAAAAATTTACATATAATAAATAAATACAATAATAAATAAATAAATATTATAAATAAATAAATAGTGAAAATAAATAATTAAAAATTTATATGAAGTATTTATACAAGTTCAAACTTATGAACAAAATAGTAAATAGTTTATGCAGAATTCTACTGAAGTTTATTAATATAATATTGGGTGCCTGAGAATCTAATGGTTAAATCTTAAACTACATTTTAAATAACAACAAAAATATGGATATTCTTATCACATATTGTTCCGTAGATCCAACATCTTCCTATAAGAATCGGTGTAATGTACTTGTAAGCAAAACTTATTATGGACCTAAGTTTCTAGCTGCGGTCGCGTTTACGTCCCGGAGCCATTTGCATACGATTAAGTGTCACGTACCCCCTCCCATTGACGAAATTATTGCCTGTGCTTCAAAGCAAGTCATTTCATATCTTAAATATTAATATTCAAATATTTAATATTTATTATTCAATGTAAATATTAAATAATTATATTATATTAGAATATTAGAAATAAAAGTGCTATTTAAATTCTGTTTACACATATTAGATATTAGGAATATATTGCTGTTTAAATTCTGTTTCACCGGATATATAGATAATATTGGTTATTTATTCTTATTTCATAGTTAGTTTTTTGTAATGTATCAATAGCACTTGATATATATAACTTATTTTCATCATGTGAAAAAAATTTTCAACTGAAAGTAAGTTTTAACTTCCAATTATAAATAATATATAATGAAGTCATTGTAATAGTTAATTAATAATTATGTATACATTAGGCTGTTTAAAAGTCGCATAAGCATTTTTAATTGTAAGAATGACTTTATTTGTTAGAATTAGTTCCCTCTAATTCGATACATGTACTGCAATGATCTTTGGATTTATGAATCCCATATCTATAGCGAAGGTCTGCAAGATACCGCTCTACGATTTATGTTTTTCTTCATTTGATGAAAATCGTTTTTCACAAAACATTTTTGTGAGGTGTCTCAAAAAAGAGAAGTCAAAATGGACAATCTGGCTAACAGGCTTATGGTGATTATACGCCGTACGTTAATGCACTGATATAAACGATGATTTTTGTATTATGTGCAGTTGTATTATCTTAAACTGTATAACTATTATATCACCAACCACACACTTACAAATTATAGCGCATATAGAAATCTGTTATGAATTTGTATAGCTTTAAATTTTTTCTTATAGAAAATTTAATCACTTAACGATATTTTATTTATTTTATTTTTAATTTTAAAATTTTGTAGATGTTTAGGTTTTAGACTGGATGGTCGTAAATTGAACAATCTAATGACTTTGGTGTTAAAACTAATTTTTACTTACCAGCGAATTAATTTGTAAACATTTGTAAGCATTTACCGTACAAGTTTAAAAATGTTCTTAATTAGCTAAAAATTTATCCACACTCTTTAATATGAATTCATAATATATAAAAATGTGTGGATTATTTGAAGGTTAAAGATATTTTTGCAAGCCTTTTTGTTAGCTACATTTGAAATCTTTAAGATACTTTAAGAAATGTCTGTGCATATAAACGTATAAAGTTATTAAAAGATTATAGCATTAAATTTTTGCAATTATTTTAAAAATATCTAATATGTTTAGGAAGTAAGAGAGCAACTAATTGTCTACATTTACTTTACAAAGTTGAACAAACGCATAAAAGTGCAAAATGCCGAAAACTGTTTTCACTTTTCAAAAGTATGAAGTTAAAAAGTTTAAAAATTATTTAAATTAGCAATTATTAACTTAAGCTTCGTATAAACAATATGAAAATAAACAAAAATTTACACGACATACAATGTAATTTGTTTTGTCTGTAAATGTTTGAAAAATTTTGCAATGATTTTTGTTAATTTTCAAAATTAAAAAAAAAAATAATAATAATAAAGTTAAATTAAAAATACAATTAAAAACACACAAACAACTTAAGTTTAATTACATATTAAAATTATAAAAAATATTTAAAATTAAGCAAAATTTTGTTTAGCAAAACAGCGAAAAGAAAAAATATTAATAAAATTAAATAAATATTGTATAAAATTAAAGCTTTTTTGTTAAATTGAAAATTGCATGCCAAGGAAAATAATTTTGTTGATTTGGTAAATAATTTCTTTTTTTATTGGCCATAAAAAGTTATTTTGTTTTTTGTCTTTTGAGTAATTTTTTTATTTTATTATTTTTATTTAATAGTAAATATTACATTTTTTTATTTAATATAAACTAATCTGATTATATTGGGACAAATTTTATAAAAATTGTTTGCGTGTAATTGTATTTCTTTTCTTTCATAAGGTTTACAATGAGTTTTATGGTAATAAGGATAATAGTTTCAGTAAAACTAACTTGGCATTGCTTTGCAGCTTAATTAAAATAATTGCTAATTTAAACAATTTAATATATATTTTGACTAGAAATTCTTTGGCAGATTTAAAAAATCATTTATATTTTTAAAAGAGAAGCAATTAAACTACCTTAATTGAGAAGCTACCGTTCGGTATGTCCTTGCCACCGAATTTAACATTTATATCATAATCGCCAGGATCGTTTAGTGCATAATAAATATCAAAGAAACCGTCTTTTTCAATAACATCGATATCAACAATTTCCCTGCAAGAATATTAGTTTAATATTTATGTAAATACAAAGAATAAATTTGAGTCTATATTAACAATTCAAACAAATTAACAAAAACCCTACCTGCCAGACTTTGAAGTTATTTTACAGGTAACCGCACCATTGCCTGCTTCTCTAGCATCAACTGATAAATGACTCTTGCTACCAGAAGGTTGAATTTTTGGTGCCTCTTCGACTAATTTACATTTCTTAGCCTCGCCCGTAGGGAATGCTTCGAGTTTGAAAGGTGAACCTTCTATTTCCTTATCGCCATATTTAATGCTAACATGATAAGTGCCACATTCGTCAGGCACAAAAGAAACTACATAAGTACCGCTACCAACTTCTTCTAAGCGTGGTACTAGAGCTTTTCCTTTCGGATTTTTAATGGCAACATTAATATCAGCTTGTCCAGCTTTCTTTGTATCGATTTCGAATTCTGCGGGCAATGATGCCGGTGTTTTTTTCTTTTCATTTACACCTTTAATTGTTACTTTTTTAGGTTCAGACTTAGGGAATACGGTCATAACAAATGGACTGCAATATAAAAACAAAAACAATAAAACTTTACAATAAACTTCTAATAAATCATCAATTACCTGAATGGCACTTCAACTTCAGCAAATTTAACTTGACAAGTCAAAACGGAGCCCTGTTTTGGAGGTACATAATGAACAGCATAGATGCCATTGCCTTTATCTTCTACTCTCAAATTATCCACAGGTATACCTTCGGAGTTTGTTAGTTTAACTGCTATGCGACCGGGTCCAGCTTCGCCAACATCTACATTAAAATATGTTGGTACAGCTTCACGAACCTCTCCATGCTCAATACCGGGTCCATATACTTTCACCTTAGAGGGATCTACAGTTTCTTCAACAATAACTCTAAATGGGGATCCAGGTATATGCTTGTCAGCAAAACGTATTGTTATATCATATTCGCCAGGATCTGTAGCTAAATAATCTACATCACAACTGCCATCACGATTATCTGTACAAGTCATTTTAGCTTCCGAAGGACCTTCAATAGCCAATGATAAGCCGCCATTACCGGCACCTTTCGTCTCTACAGTGAATTTATTATTTTGATTGGTAAGACCTTTTTCCAGGCCTGGTCCATAGGCTTTACAACGAGAAGGATCGCAACCACTCTTTACATGTACAACAAATGGAGAACCTGGTACAGGTATATTATCATACATCAATTCGATGGTATAACGTCCAGCTTCAAATGGTGTATACATTATACGGAAGATATCTTCATTGGGCATTGGCACAATTTTGCTAGGCAATACGTTACCCTTTGGATCGAAAATTGCACATGAAAGTTTGTTTGAATCAATATTGCTGCCAACCTTACTCATGTCAACCATAAAATCAGTTGGGGCGTTCATTATAACACCTGTGAGAAATAATTTAAGAAAATATAAGCGAAAATTGGATTAAATATAAACACTAATACAATTTTTCGATAAAAATGAAAATGTCTAAGGATTATATTAAAAATGTAATCTTTCAACATGTAATCTTTGGTTTAAAAATAAGAAACCGTTAGACACATATATGCCGGATGAAGCAGGATCTCTACTCAGTTTTGTAAATTTTCTTATAAGATTGTAAAAAATGCATCTTTTGAAGAATTCCTAAATATATAGTTAATATTTTTTTTTTGTAAAAAATGAGAATTGATTGAATTAAATTGATTAATAAATCAGTTATTGAAAAATAATAAAAAAAGGTAAAAGAAAATATATGTCTTACTATTTAATACTATTTAAATACTATTTATATATGAGCTATACATATTTTTTTTATGATTACGAAGGAAAAGTCTTGATTTAAGGATATTTATATTTTCAATAATATTATAAAAAAGTGAAGAAGATCGTCAAGAGAAGCTAAATTAATTTCAAATATAAAAATAAAAAATTGGATCAGAAGTTGTACAAGTTCAGATCGAATTAGTTAAGACTCGTAAAGCAACATCTGTTATATCAATAAATTTATGTAGTTTATATATATACCATTAATAGAAATAATTTTCCCACTAATGGAAACATCAATAAATAAACAAATAATAAACTTTTGGGATGAAAAATTGTATCACTTAAAGAAAATAGAATGAATCCACTCATCTTAATCTAGAGCTTTAAATAGTATTCGAGGTGTTTGAAGCTTCTAGCTTTTTAATGGTTGAGTGTGCTTCTGTTTAAGCATTTGGTTAATAACCTTTAAACAAAATATAAATATGTGTGATATTAAGTATGTTTGTATAAAACAAAACTTAATATAAAGCTGATATATTGTTCGAGCAGCTTGATTAAGTTCAAGTGTTCGATTTAAATGTTCAGATTTGATTATACTCGAGCTGCTCGAACATTTTAAAGCAATAGTTTTGTCTTTATATCCTAATATTAGCTTTGGAATATTTAAAATATTAGCGTCTTAACATTAGGTTCGTATATTAAGCATGCTTATAAAAAGTTTGTTAGTTTCTTCATAATATATAAATGAAAATAACAACAGCAACGTGGCAAGCATTATTGCTTAGGCATAATAAGGCTTTACACAAAAACTTAACGTACTTAAACATACACATATTTGGTCATATAGCTTTAATCTGATCATGCTGGCTTGATTAAATCTGCGGCTTGGCTTGGTTTTAGTTTAAAAAAACAGTAACAGCTTGCAGTAACAACAACAATTCATCGCTTAAAAAGCGTTTCTTCTATTTACCATGTGGTTGAATACCGATACCACTAACACGAGTATTATTCAGATTTGGTAACGGTACTATGATCGGTTGAAATGGAGAACCACTTATATGACGTTCGTTGAATGTGATATTAACTGTATAATCACCAACTTCTGTTGGTAAATATGCTACATTGCAAGTACCGTCTCCATTATCTCGACAATTTATAGCAGCCTCACAAGGTCCTTCGACTGTCACTCCTAAGCCGCCCTGACCGGCACCACGTGTATCAATCATAAATTCTGCTGGCTGTCCAACAATGCCACGTTCCAAGCCAGGGCCAAAAGCGCGAACTTTATTTGAATCACTGCCAGTAAGACATTGCAATCGAAATGGACGTGGTGTTATAGGCGTACCACCAAAACATATCTTCAGTAAATATTCGCCAATTTGTGTTGGAGTAAAATTGACCAGAAATCCTTCTGCAGTTGGTATTACATGAGCTCTGACGCGACTACCCGAAGGACTTGTAATTGTAACTGCAAGATCCGCCTTTGGCAAGCCATTTGTGATAATACGAAACTGCTGAAGACTATTCAATGGTGCAGCTTTTACGTAAATAAGTTTGTAAGGAAAGTTTTTGGACTTAGATGATGAACTTGTATTGTTTGATTGTATATTGAGTGCATGTTATATTATACATATACACATATATATACATACATATATATATATATATATATATACTTTATTATTTATATGAACTATTGAATGAGTTTAAGTTGATTGTGCACAAACATGTTGGTTAAGTATATTGCACTGAAAGGCATATGTACTTACTTGGTTCTAAACCGTCAACTTTAATCTTGGATACATCGACAGTCTGTTCAACGACAACTTTTTGTCCTAGTGGCACACGTTGTCCTCCATAAGTCATTGTCGTGGTGTAGGCACCTTTAGTTGGTGGGATCACTTCAACAGAGTATGTACTGTCCTCATTATCAATTATGCGGCATGGTATCTCAACTTTGGTGTCTTCGTGTAAAATTTTAACTTTCAGTTCGGCTTCACCTGCATCACGTGCATCTACATTGAAATGGGTGGCAATATTGGGTCGAACACCAGGTTGCAACCAAGGTCCGAAAGCTTGCACTTTATTAGCATCAACGGGAACGCCAACATAAATACGGTGCGGAGAATTTGGTGTAGCCACGCAACCATAATTTACTACAGAAAAATTAGAAATTAAAAAGTGTACAGTTAAAAATAAATATTAGACCAACTTTCTACAGTATGTGGTACTCCAGTTGTAGGTGTATATGTGCATTTTTTAGTACCATCTGGATTATTAAAAACTTCAACTGGTATCTTATTAGCATAAACATCTTGAACAAAAACATCTAATGGTGCCGAACCAGCTTTGCTAGTATCTACAGTAAAACTAGTAGGCTGTCCAATTGTAAGACCATTCTTTTCCAAACCTGGACCATAACTTTTAACCAATTCGGGATGGAAATCGGTGCGCGGTAGAATTTGTGCAATAAATGGAGATTTTGGTATATCTTCATTGTCGCAAAGTATATGCACAGCGTATTCACCGATAGCAGTAGGATGGTATTTAACCAATGCGGAGCCATCACCATTATCGTGACATTCAATTTCAGCTTGTGATGGACCAGCAACAGTGAAACCAAGTGCACCAGTTTCACCATTTGTTTCTACTACAAACGCAGCTGGATAACCAATAACACCACCAGTTAAACCGGGACCATACGCAACAATTGATGATTCTTTTTTGGGCCCAACTTTAACTTCAAAGGGTGATTTTGGTACCTCTTGACCAGCGAATGTCACCATAGCAACATAACGACCTTCCTTAGTGGGATAATAATGACACTCGTATGTAGTACCATCAACTTTCGTAAGTGCAACATTTTGGTTCATACCACCTGGACCAATAACACGTACTTCAGGTATACCCTCACCGGCACCTTCAGTGTATACTTTAAAGTCAGCATCATCACCAACACGCACACCGGTTGCTTGTAAACCACGTCCAGAAGCGCGTACTTTACGTGCATCAGATAAAGGAACAACTTTAACGGGGAAAGGACTGTTTGGTATTGGTGTACCAGCATAAAATACATTAACCGAATGTAAACCTTGTAAAGCGGTAACATATTCACAACGCCAAACATTTTCCTCCAGTTGGCGAACCTTGGCAGCCACCGATGTTTTGTGATTGGCAGGATCAATTATAATTACTTCTGGCACACCGCGGCCAGCACCTTTGGTAAGTATATCAAAGAATGTTGGTTTTGTAATAGTAACACCAGCTGGCTGTATGCCTGGTCCAGTAACTTTTACTTTTGAAGCATCACCGGCATGACCTTCAACTTTAATTGTGAACGGACTTTTTGGTATATCTCGACCAGAATATTTCACAATAACTTTATAATCGCCTTCCATTTTGGGTATATATGAAACGCTATAAGTGAGATTCTTATCATTATTAAAGCGTACCTCAGCCTTTTCGATTTCACCATCGGGATGAATAATATCAACATCAACGACACCTGTGAAAAGAACACAAAAAAGTGTTCGGTTATTTATTTCTTTTAGAAATATTTCTTTAGCTATAATTATTTACCTTTGCCAGCGGAAAATGTCTCTACGATAAAGTTAGCTGGAGCACCCACAACTGGACCAATAGGTTCAATACCAGGACCATAAGCACGTACTCTATAAAATACAATTCATATTAGCGTAAATTTTTTATGTTATTATTGTTTTTGTTTGTGCAAGCATTGCACTTTGTGTTAGCACTTTTTGTGTATCAAAAAATTAACTGCAAGCAATGCTAACTAGAATTTCTGGACGTGCTCTTCAAATTTGTTAGTTTCTACTTTGTTCAACAGATATATTGAAATTTGCCTACAGCCAGGCAATGAGTTTATTTTAACAAGCGACTACTAAAAGTATGCTACATAAATTTTCAATTAAAAAAATGCATATTTTTAACCTTTTACTAGCAGCAAGTGCTATAATGGCATTCTCTAATGCGAAGTTCAAAATTTTAATTGTATTGATTACCAGAATGAAATGTATAATACTGTATGATCTGATAAGTATATAAATTCGGCTATTTAAAGCTTTAATAATGAACTGCGATAAGAATACAAAAGATGATGGAATTAAGTTTTTAAAATATAAAATATGTATGTATGCGTTTATAATATGTAATTGTTCGAAGTATAAAGTTCGAATTAAGGTAAATGTTTAACAAATTGATATATGTATTTATATATAATTATATGTAATAATTTCATTACATGCCAGGAATGCCATTTTTTTTAGTATATTGATCTAATTTATTTAGATTAAAGTGTCCAATGTTAATAAGATTTTGGAAATATTTAATCCAATATATAATTTTAGTGTCTAAGAAATCAGATGAAAAGTTTCAGAATATTAACGGACTATAGTTTTTTTCCTCAATCCAATTGGAATATAATTATGTTTTCTTGCTAATCCAAAATTAGTAACTAGCTAAGAAATCAGATTAAAAGTACTATGTAGAATATTTTCATTTTCTATGTTTTATATGACTTAACAAATAAACGGTGATTTAATTCGATATATCTATATATATTCCGATATATTATAACTATAAATGACTACTAACACTACTACAAAAATGTTGGATTACTCTAAAAATCTTGGAATCCAGATTTATGAATCGAAAATGACATTAGTTGTACAAAATTGTACAAGTTTTTAAGTTTAGTATGAAATTTAACTCTAAGCGGTTGCAAACTGCGAAAAGTTGAAGATTCTGCGATGAAGAATCAAATCTAAATTCTATATCTAAAATAATTTATTATTATATTTAAATTAATATATCTAAAATATATGTTGTATTAATTATATACCTTTTTCATGTTAATTTTTGTCAAACAGTTTGTTGTAAGGATTCATTTCGTTTAAACGGTTATATGCTGGTTTTCGAACTTTTGGTTTTTGGCAGTTCGAAAAAAAGTTCGTTAAAATTAATTACAAATTCAATGTTATATGTCACAGAAATTTAAAAATATATGCACTACATTCATTGAATATTTTCAATTACTCATATTTGGGAAACTGTCAACATAAAATTTGAAATATAGATTTCAATACTATATCGAAACAGTACGAGTATGATAATTTAAAAACCTAAATCGAGAATTAGAGTTCTCTGCATCTATAAAACTATTATATGATATGTAATGATATGTTTAGAATTGAATAGGCCATGAAAATGTTTGATTATATTAGAATGATAATAGATTTCAATATCATTAAACTGTGCACAAAATTCGAAAATTAAAACAAAAACTATTATTAATTTATACTAATTTAATTAATCACGTTAGATATTAGCACTTCTTTCAAGCTTACAGTATGACAAAACATCAGAGTCAAGTTCTGAAAGCAAAATCACTTCAAAGCAACATTTTTAGCTAAAGAATAATTTGCAAACAGGTATGCAGTAAAAAAAATATTAATTTAATTAATTAGGAAGATAGATAGATAGATAGACACATGAAAATAATAAAGATTAAGTGTAAAAACGTAAAAGGCATTAAAAAAACACTCAAGGCTAATACAAAAAACACAGCTATAGAGCAACTGGTAAATCGTTTCAAAGCTGAAAATGCCGAAATAGCCAGAATAAAGAGCGAGTTAAGGAATAAACAAAGCATTCCGAGAAACTTACCGCGGTGGAGGAATGCTGAAATTTAACATGTTTCGACAATATTTGAAATTTTTTTATATTTCATTTTATTTAAATATATTTTACGTATTATTATTATTATATTTTTTTTTTTGGGAACAAAAAACAAAATCCAATAAAATATGAGGTATATGAGAATTATCAGTGTTTGTGGAAAGGAAGAAAAAGAAAGAAGAAAAATATAATTAAAATTTAGACAATAATTTCAAAAGTATCTATAATACTTAAAAAAATATGAGCACAATACATATATTTATATAGAATTAAAAATAAACTGGTATAGAAAAATTAATGAAAAATAAACGTGTTAACTGTTATAAAACATACGAAGACGCAGTTAAAAATACAATATTGAGTAATAAATCATAAGAAAATGTACAATAAGAAGAAGAAGAAGAAGATAGTGAGACTAGTTGAAATCACGTGCCAGTTGCAGTTAATATTTGAATTGAAGAATTTTTCTGTACGAGTATTTATTACGAGTATAGATATTGTATACTGTGTATACTGTACGAGTGAGGAAACGTGTCTGCAGATTGTAATTATAGGCAAATATTTCACAGTTATTTTTGCTTACCTGTTTGGATTCGTTTTAGGACGTAATGGTGCACCTTGTTTGAGTTTAGAGTTTGGATATTGTGATAAATAAGTCATCATAGATTGTTCATCAACATTTGGATTGACCAATTCTTCGGGTTTGATTAGCTGACGTACATTCAACCAATCATCTGCAAGACCCATTGCTTCGGAAGCGTTTTGAACAGCATCTTTTGGATCCCACATTTCCCAATCGGGACATAACCCTGGTGCGCAGGCATCGACTAAGGCACCAACTGCTTTACCTGAGGTCCAATCATTTGTGAAATTATTAATTGGCATATCTGGTATTCTGGCATGTATCCAATTGAGTAGTCTATAGTAATTGAAATATGTGAATAAGTTTTTATTTAATAAAAATAGTTTTAGGAATTATTACCTTTGTTTAGGCGTGGGACCTGAACCATTGATTTGGTTGTCATCTTCGCCATCCCACATTGGCATTGAGATTGAATAATGCAAAATAAGTGTCCATATTAAACCAAGTATTAACTTCAATTTACAATCTACAATATCTGAAGAGTCTGTAACATAAAATAAAATTATTTATAAATAAAATTAAATAAAAGTTTTTTAGTTATAACAATATTTGGAACTTGTATACAAAATGTGAATAATTCAAATTAGAATCAAAGCTATTTATACTATTTTTGAGAAGGGTGAAATCAGAAATAGAACGTATAGATCGAAACAATAAGTATACCATTTTGACCAAAAAGTTTCAAGAATTAATTTCAAACATTAAAAATAAAAGTTTATTCCTTAATGACGACAATCCATGAAGAGAATTTATTGACCGTAACGCAATTATAAAATGCCACCCCTTATTCCAATCCACAAAATATTTTTTAAAATCGAATTTTTGTATAGTTATCAAAGCCGTATTCGATGTTTTTATCTCTTTTCGGCTGCTAAAACGCCTTACGCAGAGGGATTACTTCAGTTATGTGAACAGGAAGAAATCGCAGGGTGTTAAATCAGACGAATCGTTGGCTATTGTATGGTATTTGTAGGGTTCTTGATTAAAGTTTCATGAATAAAAATGGTAATGTGCCATCTTTAAAATGTATCTTTAGCAACATTTTAAAGTTAAATTAATTAAAAAACCTCTTTATTAAATTAATTATTTAAAATAATTTATTGAAAAATCGAAAGAATTTCAAAACAAGAACTGATGTTTCATTGTATATGGAACTTATAGTCAAGCTTCTACCGATGGATCAACTTTTTCAAATTTATATAAAAAGTAAGTATTTATAAAAATAAGTTAATCGCAATAAAATATATATAATAAAATATATATAATAAAATATATATCTATATATATATACATATATAAGATTTATCCTAAATAAAAGACAAACTAAAAAAAAAAGACCTCGACTATTGTTTAAGTTTCGTTTCCAAAAACTTAATAAGTAAAGGTCCAATTGCATAAAACAAAATCTTACTAATTGCTTTAATTACTTTAATTACGCTAGATGGATTTGTCTTGGCAACCTGAAGTAGAGTCTGCTTATATAAAAATATAACCAAGTTTAATTTTTTTAAATACATACATATATACATATGGATAATTCTAAATTGGCAGACGTTTATCAAGCGCTTAATATAAATAGCTTAGGAAGACTAGTCTTTAATGTATAAAACCATTTGGAACTGGTAATTTAAACTGATTCTTTGAATGTGTTGAATATTTTATTTTATCATGTTTTTAATTTTAAAAATATTGTTCAGTTAGGACTCGTTGGATTGTTAGGAACTGTTGTAGATTACAATCGAGAACATTTTACCAAACAAAATCGAACAGAACATAAAGAGCATTCGAAATAAAGGCCATTTACAATGAATATTTGAGATTGTAATAGTGATTGTAATAGTTAATATTAATAATAATAATAATAATAATAAAGGCGATATAAATCAAAATCAAATAGAATATAACTTGTAATCTTTTATGTAAATAATTTTAATTATTTGAAAATATTTTTGTATTCATAAATAGTTCATATTAATTTAACTTTCACATATTGCCTGCCTTATTGTTTCATCACTCTTCCTTATATTACTCCAAATTATGTGGAAATCATCTTATCAATTTATTAAGAACTATGAAATTTGTTTTTAATTAAAATTTCATACAAACACTTTTGATTCAAATTAAACCTTTTTGTCATATAAATGTAATTATTATATGAAAAGGAATAAGTAAATCAACCGTCATTAACGTATTCATGATAAGTGATTAACACTAAAACATTTCATCACCATATATTTTGCAGTGATGGTTAAGATATTAATGCTTAGTAATTTGTATTAAATTTGAGAAACAAAAACCTGTAGAGTAGTATACTTCATATCAACTGGTATGAAATAAACCATTGTATGTACGGTACTACAGCAATTATCATGTCTCCAGCACACGATTACTAAAGACAAAAACTGACGGCGATTTGTAATGCTTTTTCTAAGCAATGTCTTCGTAAATGATTTTTTTATATTTAATAATTATGAATACATTAACGACAGACAAGTTCATAACTTATCTGCGAACCAGTGCCATCAATGGAAAGACTTATTATGCTATGTCGTGAAAACAAGTTCCATAAGTGGTCATTCGGACACCAGTTACAAATTAGGCGCCTTGGCGTTGCTACCATTTTCCACAACTCATCTTTGCTTCGGCATTCAAACTTGTTTTTATCGAGTTTTTGGTTTGGTCAAGTTCATGGTTGAGCCATCATTTTAACCTTAAACTTGTTAGCTATTTTCTGCTATGGAGTATAAATAAAATTAACTAATTATTATGCTTTATTATTGTTTATTAATGAATATTTTAAAATAAAATATGTTAATTTATAAAAGAAGCGATTAGCCAAAAATTTCCATGAGTTTATTGATCTTTGTTATCAATTTTTATGCTTGAAAAATTATTGGAATATATTTTTTGGAAAAAAAATTAGTGACGATTTTATGAATGAGATATATTATTATATTAATAATTATTTTAGTTTTTATTTATTAATAATAATTTGGCAATACTCGAAACAGCTGTATGGTCAGCCAAAAATTCAATTAATTAAAATAATATAAAATATACAATTTTTGTTGTTGTATTTCACTACTTTTCGAAAAAACCTCTTTATATAATAATTTTAATTAAAAAATTTAATTCTGCTACAACTGTGTCTAGCATTAACCAGTTCATCTTGAATCTCATGAATTTAGCTATGAGTAATAAAATTCTATCATAAATTTGTTTTTGTGTAATTCTGTGATATAAAAGCGGTACTCATGTGACCAACTTAACACTTTCCGTTGATAAACATTAATCTGTAATGACTTAAATGAAGAAAGAAAATATATCGTTTACGGTTTTATGAAATTTTTAAACATTTGATTTATGCAAATTATTATATTGATGAATATGATGTAAAAAAGAATCTTACATTTATCTTAACGTGTTCACAAACTGTTATCAACTAAGATGAACGGTTTAATCATCACTGAATAGGATAAAATAAATTTTTCTTAAAATAAAATGTAAGAAGAGTATATTGACCATATATAACATGAAAGTTTTTTAAATAATGACGTTATCAATTGGTAAACCTGGATTCAAACTAGATATGCTCTGGATCTATCAAATTTTGTTGCCCAGTCCATAATTTTTAGAGTATTCTTACAATTTTATAGTAGTTTTGGTAGACATTTATATTTTTCATAAATAAATATATCGAATCAAATCATAAAGAAATCGGTATTGATGCGACAACTAAGATAGTCAGAGTAAAGAACTAGTTTGTGCTTACAACTAAACAAAGGCTTTCATTCGCAGTGGAATAAAGTTACGAGTTTTGGCATTACCGTCTCAGCAAGGTAGGTCTATCTGAGAAGACAGAATGTGTACCATTCTACAATGGGCCAGAGTTTTCTTATGGAAAAAGCTAAATTTTGTGAATAATTATCGAAAGATCTTGACTTTGATGCTGCAACCATGATAACTGTCAGGTGAAGGACTTGGTTTGTCCTCACCACAAAAGTAAAGTTTCCATTCACAGTAGAACAAAGTTATGATGACACCGCTAGTAAGATTTTGTGTAGCTTTCCAGTTTTGATCTGAGGTAGGACGAGAACATTGGACTAGAAATGCCTAATGTTTAATATTAAGTAACATTCAATGAACAATATTTTTTTTCAAACGAAGTACAGAATGTCTTCTGTTCAGTTAGGGTCAGTGGTAGCTCAAAAGAGATTTGTTAGTTGCAATAATCCTTTTTGTTAAAAACTAAGTATCCTGGAATATTTTTATAACTTTTCGACTTCCAGCAAAACATTATTTTCAACTGATAAATAATTTAATAACATCAAATCCTGATAAGTAAAGATGTCATTATCTCAGTTAAAAGCAAATTTATGCAAATATTTTATTTATTTCTCTTTTAAATATTTCATTATCTATTAAAATCAAACTGCAAAGTAACGTAAAAAATTAAATAAATTTGAAAAATTTTATTTGCTCGTTTCAAAGAAAGAATGTAAAAATTGTAGTCATTATACTAAACTGCAACAAATAGTCACTTATTTTATGGTACGTTAAGCACGAAATGCAGCGGAATAATAACGTCTTATAAAAATGTAAATATTTGTAAGATATTCGCCATATTTGCTAATAAATAAAATTAAGCATGATTCAATAAAAAAAAAAAAAAAAAAACTGCTAAATACAACATTTAACAATTCCAAACGAATAAAAAAGAAAACATCGTCATCACCTGCAACTCTGTAACTTGTTGAAATTTCTAAGAGGCGTTGCAATGCGGATTGTGGAAGCGTCACGGTCCAAAAAGTTCTAGCCTTATCAGAAAACTAATAGAATTCCATTTTCATGTATAGAACAAAGAGAATTGAAATTATGTAAGAACAAAAATATACATATAAATATTTTATAGATTGATTTACGATAATTGAGAATTGTAAAAATGACACGTTAAAAGTTACAGTCAGTTTGGTGATTTATTATTTAAAATTCATAATTAAAAATACAGCAATGGCTTTAAATATATACGTAATCTACGTTATACGTTATGCATTCTTTGAATTATAATGTCCCGCGCAGAGTGAAACCACAAAAAGCAACTCTCTGTGGCTCTGACACAGTTCGCTTGAGATTTTTCTTGCCGCAAGTTTAATTTGTTCAACTTTTGCGGCTACCACTGTGGCAGCTTTGATTTGTGGCAACTTTTAAACGTCGGATGTTGCGGAAGGATTCACATACCTGTGTTCTTACTGTAAACGAAATTAATTTTTTTTCTCAGACTTGAGAAAGTACAAGCGCTTTAAAAAAGGATCATATCTTGCCTTAGTAAGGATATATTATATCTATATTTATTGTTCAATTCTTCCTTTGTATAGAGGTGCCTGCTTGTATCACTATATGTTATATCGCTAATAACAATCGTAAAAACTATCATTCCATTATGAATACCAGCCAGCGTTGCATTTATTACTACAGTCATATATA